TGAGAGGATTCACCAGAGACAGAATAGGGAGCAGAATAGGGAGATCTACTGAAATGTACTGCTGAGGGGAGAAAGGGTGAGTTAGGAGAGGTCTGCTGCACCATGTGGGTAGCTCCTGGCCGGCCGGAGATCAAACTCTTGCTGCAGAGGTTGCGAATAGCTTCATTATGCTGTACTTGACCCCTTGCATCACCAGGGAGGCCCCCTAATTCTTTTATTTATATCTTTTTTAAAAAGATTATTTATACAAGAACTGGGGTACAGGCCAGATGCACAGGAGCATGAGAAGATTCACCAGAGACAGAGCAGGGAACAGAACAGGCAGACTGACTGAAACACACTGCTGAGGGGAGCAGCGGGCACAACAGGAGAGGTCTGCTGCGCCATGTGGGTATCTCCCTGGCAGGCTGGGACTCGAACCTGTGCTACAGAGGCTGCAGACAGCTTCACAGCGCTGCGCTCAACTTGCTGCGCCACCGGGGAGGCCTTTATATCTTTTTCATCATTGTGTATTCCCTGTAAAATTCCCACCACCAGTTCACCCATGAACCAACCATAGTCTCTTGCGCTTTTCTCTCCCCTGTTTTGATCCCTTTTCCTCCTCCTCCTTCGCAGAGTGTCTCTGATTTATGGTTGCCTGCTAGTTTTTTTTTTTTTTTTTATAGAGGCATGTTTATTTATTTATTTATTTGTTTGTTTGTGTGTTTTGTTTACACATGCACTGGGTACAGTCAGAAGCGCGGGAGGGTGAGAGAATGCACCAGAGCCAGAGCGGGGAGCAGAGCAGGCAGAAGGACCGGAGTACACTGCTGAGGGGAGCAGCGGGCGGCAGGAGAGGTCTGTGCGCCATGTGGGACCCTCCTCCGGTGGCCGGGGAGCAGCCGGGGATCGAACCAGCGCCGTAGAGGCCGCGGGCAGGTTCGCAACCCAGCGCTCAACCGCTGCGCCACTGGGGAGGCCCTGCCTGCTAGTTTTTAATTGTTATTATCAGTCATTTTTTTTTCCTGATCCCTTATTTGGTTCCCCTATATTCCTCCTATAAGTGAAACCATTCGGTATTTTTTTTTTCCTTCTGCATAGCCTTGGTCCTTGGTTTTTCCCCATTAGGTGTATTTATGGAATCATTTTGTGACTCATTTCAGGGGCCTCCACATCTGTTATCCGTCCTCATCTTGGTCCACATTTTTATGAAAATTCCTTCAACCACCCAAGTTAGATTCTGTTTTCTGCCAGTATGTCTGAGTTTCTAAAATGGATGTTAATTTATTTGATGAAAGTTATCTTTTTAAAAATTGTCTGAATTTGGCATTTGACATGGAACAGTAATTTTTTTTTGATGTGATTATAAATGGGATTGTTTTCCTGATACTCTACCAGTTCTATTTGGATATAGAAACAGATTTTTGAAAATTACTTTTATAGTGTGCCATGCTCCTTATTCATTATTTCCAATAGTTTTATGCTGTCATCTGCAAATAGTGATCATACTACTTTCAAATTTTGATACAATTTAAAAATCATTTTCTTGTCCAATTGCTCTTCCTAAGGCCTTTCCCCAGTGTGATATTGGACAACAGTGGTAAGTGACCATCTTCATCTTACTCCTGATCTTAAAACAAAGCTTTCAGTTTTGTATCACTGATTAAGATGTTGGCCTTGGGCTTGTCATATATAGCTTTTATGATGTTGAGGTACAGTCCTCTAACCATTTTGTTGAGGGTTTTGATCACAAAAGGATGTTGATTCCTGTACTTAGTGATATGATCGCATTAATTTTTGGCCTACCTTTTTTTTTATTGATGTGGTATGTTACTGATTTTTGTTGAATTTGCTATGCTTGAATCTTATAATCCCACTTGATCATGGTGGGATTATAATTGCTAGAATTTTGTTAAGGATTTTTGCATGTATGTTCATCAGAGATCGTGTGTGTGTTATGTTGTCTGTTTTTGGAATCAGGGTAATGTTGGCTATAAAAACTGTATTTGGAATTTCTCTCACTCTTCCAGTTTGCTATCAGGACAATGCTGTGCAGGGCGAGGGGTGAGGGAGGTGGGTGGGGTAGGGCAGCAGAGAGTCTGGTGGGTATGCATGGTAATGTGTCAACCCTCTTTGGGGTCTCTGATCTGAGACTCCACAATCTGTCCATCTAAGGTGGACTTCACAGTGTTAGTACAGATTCAGGGGAGGAGAGGGCTATGGAGTGCTTCCCTTGCCCGAGTCCTAGTCTGTGTGGGATGCTCCAGCATCTCCCCTTTCGGCTTCAGTTGGGCCAAGGGTATGTGTCTCCCCACCACCTGCAGGGCCTCTGGCTGTGCTGGCAGTCCTGCCATGTCTTTCCCTCCATGCACTGCCCCCGTGTGTCTCGCCACTCGCCTTCAGCCACACCAATATGTGGCTCTCCTTGGCATCCTTTCTAATGAAGTTTGTGTTGATCTCTGAGTGCAGGGGGTGCGTCAGCCTCACCACCATGAAGTGGGGTTCTCCTAGTGGTGTGCTATTCCTAGATAACTGTTTATCCTTGCGGAGTTGAGCACAAAAGTGATGTTGCCTTCTTGGTGACAATTGCCCATGTCTTCTCTCTGCTCCCTCGAAGTGGTTAATTTTTAATGAACTGTCCAGGTGGGGGTTGCTCTCCAAACCTATTTTGGATCAAGGTTACCGCATGAACTCTGAGGTCAGGACTGCAGTGTGGGGAGTTAGTTATGAACAGCTGGAGAGAACTGCTGTCTTGGTTCTCTTGCTATGTGAGGCTAGTATGTGCTCTGCAGCAGCCTGGATTCGTCAATGGTGAGGACAGAGTACTAGCGTCAGTAGTAGGTGTGGTTGTGAATTAGCTTCTCTGCCATGGCAGGCAGCAGGGCAGAAACAAAAGCCTGCACAGCTCAGTATTTGTGCATCTGAGTCATCTAAGAGTGTGCACTGAATTCCGTGGCCAGACACGGTCACTGGTTTTGCGCTGCACATACAGAAAGTCCTGGCTGTATTCTATGTTCCAGTGCCATTGTACGCAGAGCTGTTTAATGGGCTACCCAGCTTCTCCTGTGTTCTGGTTCATTTCTCTGGGTGGATGTTGTGCTGAAGGTGGTAGTCAGCCATAAGCAGGGCATGACGTACTTTTCTCTGTCAGGGCACAATGGGAGAACCAGCACTGAGGTTAGTGAGGCTCTGTTTGTGGTCTTGACTCAAGCCAACTCCTGCCCAAGTTTCCTGGGTGAGCAGGACCACTGGCTTTGCTCTGAAGATGCCAGCTTTGCCCACTGGACTTTGTGCTCCCGTGTTGATGGGGATAGGTCATTTTAGGTCATTTTCCAGGGCAGGCCTGGATGCTGCAACTCAGCAAGCAGTGGGCAGACTCTGGCTCAGTTTATCAGTTTATCTGGTCATGAGAAGCTGGGCTACCAATTAGTTCTTCAGGGCAGAACTGGGAAACCCTTCACACCTGGCACTGCTTCTGCTCAGTGGGTCATCAGTTCTGCCTGCTGTACTGAGGGATCCTGGGCTATGCAGCTTCTAGATGTTGTGTACCTTTTTGGTGGGATCAGGAACCAGATTTGGCCACAGGCTGGACGGTGAGTCAGCTCCCTTGCCAGGGCACAGGCTGATCAGGATGGAGGACTGGTGAGGCTCTTGATTTGAGGGCCTGAACCCAGCAGACCAGCATCCCAGATTGCACCAGTGTCCGGGTTCTGCAGATGAGGAACACCACTGATTGGTATTACTGCTTAGGAACTGCAGTTAAGAATTTGGCCAAGATCCTAGCACTGGTTGTTGCAAGCCCCTCCTCTTTTACCCCTCACAATCAGATCCCCAGTAGTTGAGTCTGAGTCCCCTATAATCCCTGTGGAGTGAGTCTGCTATACAGGTTGCTAGGAAGTGAACTACAACACTGGGGGAGCTGACTGTCCACCCTCTTTTCTGCTTAAGGAATAACTGGCTCAGGGGACACGTCTCAGCTTGGTGCTACACTGGCCCGGAGGGTCAGCAAGCGTCTGTCGCCTTACCCTCTACTGTGCTGTCTTGGTGTGTTCAGGTGCTCAGTCTCACACCCGTTCTAGGATTTTTTCAGTGGTGTCTTGTCCATGAAGTTGTTCTTGTGAGGTAGAACAAAGTTAGGAATGACCTGTTGCCATCTTGGTGATGTCACTTTGTAAATTACCTTAGGATATGCATCAGGATTACTTTCACTGCAGTAGTTCTCAAAGTATAGTTCCCAGAAGGTCACAAATTATTTGTAATACATTTTCAAAGGTATGTGGTCAGTACCTTGCTTGCAGACTACTTACTAATTTATAAGAACATGTCTGGCCTTTACCCAAAAAATGATCTGCAAAGGTAAATCTAGTTTATGGTTTCTCAAATTTGGTAGCAGAGTGTTCAAATATATTTTCACATCAACAGCAAAGAACATTCCTTTTAACTAAAATGAAAAAGGTGGAGTGAAAGTTTTCCTTAAGCATCATGTAAAATGAGCAGAATAGTAAGGCAAAGTCCTCGTGCCATTTTCTGAACTCAGGTGAATTTGACGGAAGGTTAATCAGGCACGCATAAATTCCTGCACCAAGTCTTTGCGACGTTATGGAAGAGAATGTGACTTTCTCAGCAAGTCACACACACTGGCCTCTATCTCTGTAACTCATGTGTTGTTCAGACTCTGGGTGAACAGCCTGATCGGCTTCTGGTACCTATTATCTCATCTATAAATACACGTTCCTACTCCACTGCCTTTTTATAAAAACTCACCTGTGGAGGCCAAGAGTAAATGAAACACAGCACCCCAGAGGTCTCCTAGCGAACATAGACTTGAACTTCTCACCTATTAGCTCCACCTCCAATGTATTCTCTCCTGTAAAAATTCTGGGATCTTTGACAGTGAAATTAGTAACTGTGATATATTCGAAAATTGCAGGAGCACTTGAAAGAGATGCTGTTCCCTAACAATTCCTGAAATTCTTAGACAAATTCCTAGAAAAAGGCCCATTAGTCCTTCTGGTATAACGATACTTAAAAAAATTACATCTTTGGAAAATGTTGAGGTATTATTTATTCATGACATATTTACATACTTACAAAACTGTTTTTATCCAATACATCATCCTGCATAGTATCTTAAAAATGAATTTTGGGAGTAAAAGTCCAAGTGTCTTACTAATTTATGCGTAATTTAACATCTTTTAAAACATAGACTACTATAAATTTGGCTTCACAGAACACAAATTCATGTTTAGAATTTTTTCTAGTCAAGGAACAAATTCAGTATAGTCAATTAGTTGACCCTGAGTATATTACTCACTTGCATAGTTTTGAATAGCTGTATGTAATAAACTTTCATCAGTACTCTTATCTAGTCAGCCATACTGTCATATTTGGTCTGTATTCAATTCATCCCAATTTTCTAACTCATTAATGTTTGAGAAAAAGAAGAATAAAGAATGTGGAAGTGATAAAGCTTCAGGCGTTGCCTGAAGCTTTCTGACTCCATAAATCTGAGGACCTTCTGTCCACAGAACCTGTGAGATTACTTTTCCTGAATTTTTCCTGTTCTTTCACTACTTAATTAAAGCAAAAGTGTCTTAACTTACGAAATTCAACACATACTTCCTAAAGTACTTCAGAAAATATGACCAAAATAAGAGGTGAAGAGCAGTGTTACAGATTGTAAGATTCTCTTAAGATGCGTAAAGAACAAAAAAGCTAACAGCCCCACAGTGTGACTCACCCTTAAAAATGTTCACGTGGGCTTTAAGGAAATGAGCAGAGAAAGAACAAGAGGTCACTGGAAGACTAGTAAAGGGAACGTGGCCCTAGACTTGCGAATCTTGTACCAAAACAGCACAGAAAAATGGCTGGGCTAGAGCTGTTTTGGGAGCTTGAGATGTTCCTTTCTCGCCCTGTGGACAGCAGGAAAATCTAAGGATGAAAAATAAACGAGGTTGAGTGAGCTGAGCATGTGGAGTCAGTTATGCTCTGATGCCTTTCAAAGATAACTCTGGGCCAAGAAAACAATGCGAGAGGCCAGAGCCGGAGCGTGTGTTTATCCTTCCCATCTGTCTTCCCTCATCCCCGTCCACTCACGCTGCCGCAGAGCGCAGAAGGCTTCCCCCGATGACTGGGTGCAGGAAAATGACCTGGCCTCAAGCAGGCCAGAGAAGAACCGTCACGGCTCTTCAGGGAAGCCTGGAAAACTGCCATCTAACGGGATGTCCATGTTTGTGGGTGAATGAAAACCATCCTCAAAAACAAGACACTTGAGACTTGGTAACAAAATGGAAACTGAACCTCTACTATTTTTAGGATCTGTAAAAATTCCCTATAGCAGGAGAAGTAGTAGGAATAGGAAGTACAGGTAACTTCTCTCAGACCCTGTTGTGATCTCCCACTAGGCCAATGCCATGGTAACAGGCCATTAGGAAAGGGAAGTCTTGTAAGTCAGGAACAGAAGTAAACGGTAGAGAAAGGCTTTCTGTAGTGTTCTGGAACGCTTGTAAATGGGAGTCTTCTGGGCTTACTGCCATAGCTGGCTACATCTTTCTCTTCTCGTTATATTTAATGACATAGAAATCTGATTCCTACCGAAAAATCATATAATACTCAGAAATTAACATACACTGTAGTTGTGAAATAATACATTGGTACGCAAGGTTGAGTATAACAGAAATTGAAAAAGTATTTTAAATAATGATAAAAGTACACATTGCATATAATGACAGTGAAGAGCTTCGACACATTTTATAAAACTGCCAGAGATTGTGCTAAGTGCTCTACATCTAAGGAATTATATAGAAGAGTAAATAAAAATTAAATTACATGTACACAAGAAGCTATTTAAAAAGATAGTAGAACTTGCAGATACAGAGTTCAATGATATAAGAAAACCTATTTAATTTTGATTTATATAAATCCAAAATGGTAAAATATATTATTTAGGGGAAACAAAAGCTTTCACTAAATAGAAATATAATGGATGAAATAAATGAGATTAAATATAAAACATTTTCTTTGAAAACAGTCATAAAAAGTAAAGGCAGAACAGCACAAGGTTCGAAGAGCAGTGTTTGCAGTAAACTAAGTCAGATGTAATCTTAATTAAAATAAGAGGCATATGATCCTATAAGAAATGAAATAATTCCCTCTGAAAACATGCTCTGTTACAGTTGGGAGAATATGAGTGGATGCAGAAATGATGGATGTTGCCAGGGTTTACTTAGCAAGTACTGACGAGTACCTAAAAATAACAAAAAATGCTTCTGATTTAAAATATATTTGAATCATATGCCACTTACTTGTGAAACAGCAATGAAAAAAATAATGTACTACCCAATTTTTATCATCTGTATCTGTGAAATACCAAGTTATTTTAGAAAAGCATCTTTCAGATGAAGCGAAGATGTGGTGACCAAAAGAAAATGATGAATTGCATTATTTTGGCCCATGTTTAACAAATGCCTGAATGAGGTGTGTTGGGTGAACTGTTGAGCACACAGTTCAGCTTTAGATCTGAGGTCACGTGCACCCCACAAACCTTCAAAAGCTGACAGGAAAGAGATGAGTTATGAATTAAAAGAAACAATGCTTTTAAAGGGTAGTCAGTAAACATGTTGTTTAATTAGCTATGTCGTCTTAAACAAAAAAAAAAACAAAACAATCAAGGACATATCATTAAATTAAATGTCTAGCACATGAATTTGTACCTTATAAATTTGGTATATCAATTTGTATTATAAAAATATTTTCTTCTTGAGAACTATGGTACATGAAATTATGTGATCATAACACCAGGACTAAGTAAGAAAAACTGCAGCCTCCAGCAAAATGATCAAAACCTGCTGGGGTCACTGAGCGAACCAGTGGAAGAAGGTTCGCGCTCTGGCAGCGAGCGCAGGCCCCGGGCGGCTCCTCACAGCGGCCGGGGCGGCAGGCGCTGTCTGTACATGCCGGCCACGGCCTTGGCGGCGCTGTAGATCATCTGCCGGCGAGACAGGCCAGTGAAAGTCAGGTGCCAATCAGTCCGGCTGACGTTTACCAAACTCTTTTCCAGGACTTCGCCCACCGTCACCAAAAGGCCTGACCACCTCAGGTTGTAGTCCTGGGGAGTTAGACTTTGAGCCTATGGAAAAGTGCAATTGATCGTATTTAAAATACATTGAAAAATACCACTGGAACATGTCATTACAGATTGTAAAATAGACTGTGACAAACCCTGAGAAATACAGCTTTGCTGCCAATGACAAGAAGTTACAAGGCTATAAAAGTGGAAACAGGACACAAAACTCTGTTTAAAATGTCCACAGAAATGAGCTCATTTTGTCGTCCAAATAGAATCTGAGTCCTTAATGACTCCGCCTAAGGGAGCTCCGCGTCGGAGGACGAGCAGCATCGCTGCAGGTTAGTAAGAGTAGTCTGAAAATAGAAACATTACTGACATCTTTTAACTTTGAATTCCTACTGGAAGGACAGATACTGAATTATTAAGGCCTCAAACGGGGAAAAAAAACTGTTCCATCTGTATAAAAGTATCCCATGACACCTGGCTTCCATGTGGTGAACAGATCACTCAAAAGTATCCAGCCCAGGAACGGTCAGTGTTATGCCCTTCACACTCCGCCCAACGTGGAACCGCCCGCGCGCCCCCACCCCGCTAGAGTGGCAGTGACAGGTTTCTAATGCTTTATCATTAGGTCTGGCTTCTGCCTTGGTTTTCCTGTGCCGTGTGCACCCCGCTCATCCTACCGCCACCAGCGCGGGGCTTTTGAACAAATCCTTTCAACTCTATTGAACGCTCGTCTCTTCTCCTTTAATCTGCTTCTACATTGAACTGCATAAACTGACTATTGTTTGAAACTTTCTGCCCTTGGTCAGGATATAAAATTATACTATGCTTTGTAAGAAAAAATATTTGTTCTTCATCCCTGTCCTCCATAAATATCCAAAAGGACACAGTTCAGAGACCTCCCAGGTGGGTGAACACGCAGAAATTTGGGGAGAGCAGTGACCTGAGGAGCGTGTGGAGCTCGGTGTCCTGTCCCCGTTCCCTGAGTTGCAGCCTTTGTGAGAGACACGTGATCTAGTCAGCAAATGTGTTTCCTGAGAGGGAGGGAGTCGTGTGACCCCCCCCCCACCGCGGGTGCGCCATCAGCACAGGTGACAGCCTGGACTTTGGAGGGGCACCTCCCAGGTGCGGGAGCTGTGCTGTAGGGCCGAGTCCTTAACCCGAGCAGTCTGACACCCGGACCAAGGATCAGAACTGAACTGAACTGTGCAATGCTAGCTGCTATCCCAGAATTCCTCGGCCGTGTGGATAACACCCTCCTACACCTTGGAATTGGGTCCCAATTCTAAAGAGCCGGCCTGAGGAGCGGGACTAGCTAGGCGGGCAGCAGCTCCCAGAAATGTGGGACTGGGGAGGAGAAAGGGCGAAACCAAGGGTAGGTAGGGGTTGAGGGGCCTTTGAATCCTGGTGGCTACATGGTCGGCTGTCGTGTGGAATTCAGAGATGGATCCTACCCTGGGGAGTTGGCTGACTCGATGCAAAAAGGAAATGGAAACTAATAAAAATGGCCAAATATCCCATCCTTTGGCCATTAGCGATGAAAGCTACATCACACGCGAAAGAGAAGCTGGCTTGGCCCCTGGGCCAGACCACGCTCCCGTTTTGGTCCGCTTGGCCTGTGACTCTAGCCTGGCGCGGGCAGGGCCAGGGCTTTGGCATGAGGTTTTATTTCACGGGAGATGCCCTAGAAGTGGGGTAGAGGCTGCTTTTGAAATTTAACTCTGTACAAGGGTTTAACTGCCTGAGTGAATTTCCTTTTCTCCCCCCAAACTAATCCCGCCTCAGCTGTGCAAGATGGGCCTAAAGCCACTTGGGCAAGTGAGTCACGCAGGCTCTAGCTCCTGTGCACAGGACGCATTCGTGTTATCGTTACACATCTTTTTGGCATTTTTCTCCTCCAAACAAAATGTGATCCCAGAAGACCCGCGGGGCATGGGACTATTTCCTTTCTGCACCGACAGCCTCAACGTTATCACACAAGGTGAAAATTGAACAGGGACAACAGAAAGTAACAGCTCTAACAGCTCTCGTCACTAAGAACTAGGGAGCACGGAGGGAAATAAACCCAGAAAAGTACAACTAGAGGGTTTGGTGTGCAAGTCGTTTCTGTGGCCCCGTGAGCGGCGCTGCTCTGCAGGGGGCCGGCGAGTGGCTGGAGAGAGTGACTGTCGAGGCGCTGGCCCTGGCTGCGTGCGGCGGAGGGAAGAGCGTGCTTGGCTGGCCCCAGACCCCCCGCTCTCTCCAGAACCACCACAGGCGGCCCCGTGCCATCCAGAGCCTCGGGAGGTCGGCGAGGGCACAGGGTAAGAGCCAGTGAGGTCTGAGCCCCGGAGAAGGGCAACCCTTGGGCAACCCCTGGAAGTGCCCCCGGGACACTCCAGAGGAAGCGCCGCGATGACTGGACAGTCAGCTGCTGACAGGCCTGTCATGGTGACGGCGGTGGCTAGGTGGGCCCTCCTCACATGGGCGCCCAGACAACCTGATTATGGCAACCCTGAAAACCAGCTGAGGAAGGTAAGTAGAGTCTGTTGTCCACGTTTCCTCTTACAGGTGGCAACACCAACATTCGCTGAATCAAGAGACTGGGAAAGGCTAAGGGAACAGTCAAGGCCTCTTCTGCACGAGATGGAAATGTTCACAAGGTTATGAAGAAATAAGGTAAGGAACTAAACGGGAAAGGGAGAGTGGCGGGACTTGTCCCAGCGGGGCGGAACTCTTTTGATAATTAAGAAAAAATACAATGAATAAAATGGACGATGGGGTCACAACAAAAATTTTAATGAACACAGCACTAACGACCGCCATGGCTTTCTGCTGGTGGCCCCACCCCATCACAGCGACCCCATTACGTCTAGTCTATTTACTCCTTTGGAGACCTCTGAAAAGCCAGACGCTAGAGAGGACAGGAAGAAACCTGAGCGGCAGCCGCCTGGGTTCGTCCCATTAGTCACGGCCCCTCGGCTGTCCCCCTCACAGGAGGGGCAAAGCTTTCGCAGAAGAGCGGGGAAGACGTCAGGGGCGGAGAACGGGGGTTGCCAGGGCTCCGTGACGCAGGACTCCCCTGGGCCGCGGCACTACAGCTGCCCGGAGGCCCTGCCCGGCACTGCATCGAGAGGGGAGGCCCGGACTTGCTGGTCCTACACGGCCAAGCCGTGGCTCCTGTCCCTCGAGGCTGGGGGAGACGAGGGCCCCCAGGAGAACAGCTGCCCAGCCTGTGTGACCACCAGGCCTGCCGAGGGCGCCTGAGCGAGGCCACGGTGTGAGCCTAAGAGATGATGAAGTGACGGCAGGTGTCTGGGGACCCGGCCACTGGCTGCCGTTCCTTCCTTGGGTCTGTCCGCGGACAGAGACCGTATGTCACTGGGGGCCATTTCGCCTACGTGGTAACGCACAGCACTAGGCCTGCCCACGCACCCTGGCAGCAACGTCACACGTCAGCCTAAGACGGTCCGACCCCCTCAGCGCAGGCGGAAGCGGACGCGCGGGTGAGTACAGCCTCCCAGCCGCCCCTCCACGGCGAGCCACGGGGTTTACCACAAAGACAGCGACAGATGCAGAGGCTGGTTGTCAGGACACAGACAACAGAGGGACAGGACAGATGAGAGACAGAGATGACACAGCGGGACGAGATGGCGAGAGAGCAGAGACAGAGATGAAACAGACATGACAGAGATACACAAACACAAGGTGACAGGAGGTGACACAACTGAGAGATAACAGACGAGGTAGAGATGAGAGACATAGAGATGAGAGACAGACACAGAATCAGAGACAAAAACACATACAGAGACCGAGACATGGAAAGACAGAGCAACAGGACAGAGCCGGAGAGACAGAAACACAGACACAAAGACTGAGGCAAAGAGACAGACACAGACAGATGGAGAAATACAGATGCTAGAGAAACAGAGACAGAGAGACAGGTACAGACCAGAGACAGAAGAGACTAGAGGGAGAGAGGAGAGGTAAGAGAGACACAGGTAAGAGACTAGAGATGACACAGGAGACTAGAGAGAGGAGTTACTGGACAGGAGAGACTAGAGAGACAGGAGCCAGGGCAATGACAGGAGAGAGATAAGAGACTAAAGAGACAGGAGGGATGGTCTAGAGAGAGACGAGTTACTGGAGAGACAGAAGAGTCTGGAGAGAGAATAAAGAGACGCTAGAGACAGGAGACTAGAGAGAGACAGCCCAGAGACTAGAGATGAGCGTTACTGGAGAGACAGGAGGTACCAGAGGGAGACACAGGAGGGAGACAGAAGAGAAACAGGTGAGACAGACAGTAGATGGAGAGAGCGAGAGACATGAGTTACTGGAGAGACTAGAGAGAGGCAGAGACAGTAGAGAGAGTAGAGAGAGAGACCGGAGAGAATAGAGAGACATTCGAGACAGGAGAGACTAAAGCGAGACAGGCTAGACAGACAGTAGACAGACGGAGGCTGCGAGAGACAGGAGAGGCGGAAGAAACGAGAAAGAGACTAAAGAGAGACAGGGGAGAGGGAGAGACAGGAGAGAGACTAGGGGGATGAGAGTTACTGGAGAGACCGGAGAGACTACTAGAGAGAGAACAGAGACACTAGAGACCCGAGAGAGACTAGAGAGTGACGGGAGAGACTGGGGAGACGAGAGCCAGAGCGTGGCAGACAGGAGACTGGATAGACGGGAAGGAAGGGGGGAGCGCGAAAGTAGCGAGGGACAGCGGAGATCCTGGAGAGACGGGCGGCCGGGGGGGGGGGGGAGAGCAAGAGACCAGAGCGAGCGACAGTAGAGAGGGACTGGAGAGGGACAGGAGAGAGAAGGAGATAGCGAGAGAGACAGAGAGACAGGAGAGAGATGAGAATGCCGGGACAGACAGGAGAGAGAGGGAGACAGCGAGAGACAGAGACGAGAAAGACTGGAGAGACTGGCGGGAGAGACGAGCGAGAGGTGAGAAAGAGACAGGAGACAGGAAGAGACTGGAGAGAGAAAGGGAGTCGGGAGAGACAGGAGACAGTGACTGGTGAGACTAGAGAGACGGTAGGGGGAGAGACGGGAGAGACAGACAGTAAAGAGACTAGAGAGAAGGGGAGCTAGCAAGAGATAGGAGAGAGACAGAGACAGGAGACGAGACAGGTGAGACAGACGGGAGCGAGCGAGCCGGGAGAGAGGGGGAGACGGAGAGGAGAGAGACAGGAGAGAATGACTAGAGAGACACAGTAAAGACTCTCGAGAGATGAGGTCCTGGAGCCACAGGAGAGTCTAGAGAGAGAGACAGGAGAGACTACTAGAGAGAGACACTGGAGACAGGAGACGAGAGAGAGACAGCCCAGAGACTAGAGCTAAGAGCTACTGGAGAGACAGGAAAGAGAATTCTGAGACAGACAGTAGACGGAGAGAGCGAGAGACAGGAGTTACTGGAGAGAAAGAGACTAGAGGGAGACACAGGAGACACGAGAGAGACAGGTGAGAGACTACTAGAGAGAGAATAAAGAGACACTAGAGACAGGAGACTAGAGAGTTAATGGAGAGACCAGAGACAGACAGGAGAGACTAAAGAGAGACAGGTGAGATAGACAGTAGACAGAGATAGCAAGAGACAGAAGAGAAACAGGAGAGACTAGAGAGACAGGAGACAGCAACAGTAGAGACTCAGAGGAGAGACAGGAGACGTTACTGGAGAGAGAGGGAGAGGAAGAGACAGGAGAGGGACAGGAGAGAGACGGACATAGTGAGAGAGACAGAGATACAGGAGAGACAGACAGGAGAGTGACGAGAGAGATACGAGACAGACAGGAGAGCCTGACTGGAGAGACGAGCGAGAGATGAGAAACACTAAAGAGACACAAGGGAGGCTGGAGAGAGATGAGAACTACTGGAGAGACAGGAGAGATTAGAAAGGGAGACTAGAGAGAGACAGGGAGTCAGGAGAGACAGAGACAGGAGAGATTAAAGAGACAGGTGAAAGGGTGACGGGAGAGAGACAGGAGAGAATGACTAGAGAGAGACAGTAGAGACTAGAGAGATGAGTTACTGGAGAGAAGGGGAGACAGCAAGAGAGAGACACGAGAAGAGACAGACGAGAGAGCCAGCAGGCTAGAGAGATGTTACTGGAAATCAGGAGAGACTGCAGCGAGACAGGTGAGAGAGTGGAGATGAGTGACAGGAGAGAGAGACTAGAGACAGGAGAGAGAGTGACAGAAGAGAAACAGTAGGGAGACTAGAGAGAAATGAGGCGAGAGAGACAGAAGAGACTGGACAGACGGGGAGAGAGTGAGAGCCTGACTAGAGAGACAGGCGAGAGACTAGAGAGACACTAGGGGGAGAGCAAGAGAGCAGAGAGATGAGAGGTACTGGAGAGACAGGAGAGGGACAGGAGAGAGAGGGAGACGGTGAGAGACAGAGATACAGGAGAGAGAGGAAGAGAGACACAAGATGGAGAGAAAGAAATGCAGACACTAAAGACAGACGCAGAGACACAGACAGATGAGAGACACGCAGAGACAGCCCGGAAAGAGACAGTGGAGAGGCAGACGCTGAGAGAGACAAGCGGAGAGGACAAGACGGAAACAGAGACACACAGACAGAGATAGAGGAGCGAGACACTAGGGAGAGATGCGGGAGAGTGCGACAGCAGAGAGACTAGAGAGATGAGCGAGCAGGAGAAAGCGAGGTGAGAGACAGGAGACAGATGAGAGACCAGGGAGGGAGCCTGGCGAGACAGGAGCGAGAGCGACTGGAAAGAGAGGACAGAGATGGGAGAGACTAGCACGAGAGAGACGGGAGCCATCACCCAGAGAGATGGCGAGAAAGAGACAGGAGAGAGGGCCAGAGACAGACCCGGCAGGGGAGAGCGAGCCCGCAGAAAGGCAGACAGAACCTGGAGAGACATACGGAGCCAGACGGACAGAGACAGAAAACACACACGCACACAGAGACAGTGCGGCAGAGACAGGAGAGACATTAGGACAGACGGCAAAGAGACAGAAAGGGAGACAGGAGAGACACACAGTCATGAGAGCAGACAGACGGGGCCGGGGAAGGACAGACACGTGGAGGGAGACGGAGACACAATGGTCAGACACACACACACAGCGACAGGCGGAGAGGGGCAGACCCGGGCGAGAGAGAAGGACAGACAGGAGAGAGACAAGGAGAGAGACTGGGACAAGCGAGACAGGTGGAGACAGACACGGACGACACCGCGGGGGAGGGACAGAAACACGCTACTGAGACACGAGGGGCCACAGAGACACACACACACACTTGCAGAGATGGAGACAGGGACAGAGAGACAGACGAGGAGAGGGAGGGACAGAGGGAGACACCGAGACACAAGATGGAGAGAAAGAAATACAGACACTAAAGACGCAGAGACAGCCCGGCAAGAGACAGTGGAGAGGCAGACGCTGACAGAGACGAGCAGAGAGGACACAGGACGGACACAGACAGAGACAGAGGCGAGACAGGAGAGCTGCAGCAGACTGAGAGAGACACAGAGAAAGACACACAGAGATGCACAGACAGGAGAGAGAGACAGAGACACACAGAGAAACACACACCAGTGAGACGGAGAGAGGCTCATAGTGAGAGAGACGGAGAGAGCGAGAGAAACATGGAGGGAGACAGACGCATAGACCTACACAAATACAGAGACAGACTGACAGAGACAGGAGAGACACAAAGACAAAGAGGGAGATAGTCAGAGACAGACAGATGGGAGAGATACATGAGAGAGACAGGGCCACAGGAAAGAGACTGAAAGACGGAGAGGGGGCGAGGGGAGGGACAGATGCGGATGACACAGAGTCACTGAAACAGGAGATGTTAACACGACAACCACCAAGAGCGTGACTGGTGCCAGAGACGAGACCCAAGAGACAGATGAAGAGACAGACTAGAGCGATGGGAGAGGAGAGACCGCAGAGAGACAGCAGACTGAGCTGGCAGAACGAGACCAATAGGACAGATACCGAGAGACGGCGGAAGACAGGAAGAAGAGCCGAGAGACAGTGAGACATGTCAGAGAAATAACAGACAAAAGATAGAATAAGGAGAGAGAGACAGAGACAGAGATGACAGACCAAGAGGTGACACGGCGAGAGAGAGAATGGAGGGAAATGAGACGAGAGAGAGACGGAGAAGAGGAGGGCCGCGGCTGCGTATACCCACGTGACCGGCTCCCTGGCAGGAAGGTCCTGAAAACGGTGGACCTGTGAGAGTGACGCCGGGAGCTCCACCGGCTCCACCAGGACGCGGCACACACCCAATTCGGGCCCGGGCTCCTCGTACCCAGTGGGGAGGCAGAGGCCTAGGGTGTACGTGACGGCCGGGACAGAGGGCGCGAATGTGGACGGCGGGGCATCATTTCTTCCTGCGAGAGTCAACAGTGTCTGTCTCCTAAGGGGCAGCTGGAGGGCCTCCTCGGAGCACTAGTTTGGTAGAAAATCAGGCAAATGAAACAAACACGGGTTGCTTAAAGAGAAAACCATGTACACTATTTATTTCCAGTTGATCGATACGGTGGTACGCACGGTATCTGCTTGTCATCTCTGAATCACCTTCCTACTGGACTGGGCTTAACGTTCACATCTATAAAAATATCTCCTTAAACTTCTGAAACTGTAGTTAAAAATTAGAGTATACAGAAACATTTCAAAATTCTGAGCTTCAATTCTCTGTCCTCTCCTCAACTGAAACCCCTAAGGACACAGGTTGCTTTTAGGGATTCTATGCACCCTTGGGCAAGTGTGTATGTGCATTTTCTCAGGAGGGAACCCAATGGCTTCAACAATGTGCAGAAGTAAAAATGTGAAGAAAACTGTATAAAATGAAGGACTTGAAGTCAACAAAATGCCCTTTAGGAGTACAGAAATTCTGATGAACATATTTACATTTCATGTGAGTGACATTTAAGAACACTGCATAAAGCAAGCCTGAAGGCATGTACTTACCATCTGTGGTTTCTAAACACGAACAGATTAAAGATGGAAGACGATCAAGTCAAAGGAGAAGGAAAAGGAGGCGATATGTGGAATAAAACATTAGAAAAAGGGCAAAGTGGAAGGAAGGTGAACATACAGTCAGCAGAAGAGAGAAATTTCTCTCTGATCCCAGGGTAGGGAACACAACCATAAAAACCTAGAAAAAAAGAAAAATCATGATGTTTCTCTAGAGTGTAAAACGACAAGGAAAAAACTAACCTGCTGTACAAATTCCAAAGGCACTGGTGTGGCTTGTGTAAATGCTTCTAGATGAATACCATGGACAGGATCTTCAACTATCAAACAACCAATGTCAAACCATCTGTAACGGAACACGAGTTTCAAGTTTATATGCCAAAAAGAAGCTGTAGAGAATAGGCAAAATAAGCATTACCATTCAGACAAAACATTAGCAGATTTCAAAAAGGAAATGTTTTTCTAATCAATTTTTAAGAGGACAGTTCACAAAAACAGTATGTCAAATGACTGTTGGTTTAATTCCAAGAGAATTCATTGCTCAGAGGGGACAGAAGTACAATAAGGGCAATCAAATGTGCAATGGAGAAACCATTTTAGGAGGAATATAAGAGAACCAAATAAGTCATCAGATTAAAAAAAAAAAAAAGGTAACATTCTTGCAGGGGGAAGGGAGAGGGGTCAAAACGAGGGAGGGAAAAGCACAAGGGATTATGGTGCACGGGTGACTTGTGGTGGAAATTCTATGGGGACTACACCTGAGAAAAGAAAGCCAGCATTGTTAAAAAATGAACTTTCAATTGAAGAATATTAAATAATTTGGTATACTAACATTCTGTTATTTTCCATGATTTGTATCTAAAGCAGATGGTAAAGAATAATTGCAGTGGGGCCTCCCTGGTGGTGCAAGGGTTAAAGACAGTGCTATCAAGCTATTGGCAGCCAGGGAGCAACCCACATGGCGCAGACGACCTCTCCTGTCTCGCCTGCTGCTCCCCTATTTCAGTAGATCCGCCTGGCCTGCTCTCCACTCTCTCTGGTGAATTCTCTAAACCCCCCACCCCCTTTGCACCCGGACTTACAGCCCAGTTCTTATATGCATAAATCTTTAAAAAAAAAAATTGAAGTGATTAGTCTGTTTAAGCACGGACCGCCTAAAGAGCACACCCACTGCAGGTGAAAGGAAAATCTTTCCTAGTGAGCAAATACACATTAGAATTTCAAGATCCCCTATACCCGCATCACTATCATCCCTGTGAAGAGCCACTTCACTTAGTGCTGGTGGCCAAGGGAACTTTCAGTTCTTCTGCCTCTTCCTACCACCCCTCGCTGTCTGTCCCAGGGAAGAGGAAGAGGCCATGTCCCTGGTCAAGGACGCTCACGAGGCACTCTCCTGGAATGACTAGTGAAAGAAAATGACCAACCATCTTCAGTTGAGAGAAGATACATACACAGATGTAGTTCTTAAATGATGGTATTCAAATGATTATATGTAACTTTTGTGATGATAGAAAATGTTACATATAATTTCAGTGAAAGTAACTGGAGTTAGCGTCAGTGACATTCACGAGTGGCACTTCAACAGGATTTTGAAGAGTGGGTAAGATTTGGTTAAGTGGAAAAGAACAGTAGGACACCATCAGTGAAAGACAACTGTGGAGGTGATTAAGGTGTATTTTGTAGTCTTGTTTATATCAGCTTGGCTGAGCACCCGTGGGATTGGAAATGAACCACTATGTTGGGGACAGATTATGAAGAGCATTGAATGCTGTATTCAGGAGTTTGAATTTTCTATGTAAACATCATGGAACCATCCAGTGACCATTACTATTTCTCTTTCCCCCTTCTGTTAAGCTTTGGCTATTCATTTAATGTCTACCTTACAGTGTCTTTTGTTTTATTGTAGTGAAAAGTATGACTCTGGTAATACTGGAGACTCACTGAATATTATTCCTCTGCTCTCCCTCTTCTATCTTTCACTGTAATGTTGTCAAGTACCTTTATTTCTGCTTATGTTAGACTCGTCAGACATACTAGTAATGTTTTTTGCAGTCAATACTCATTTTTACCATCTGAAATCGCTCCTACATGTTTGTATACTAGGCACAATGTTATTTGATACTAAATAAAGTAAAATTTTAAAAATGAAAATAGTCACAATATGATTACAAAAGTCTGATTTCAACAGTTGGTAAATTATTTCAATATAAATCAATTCAGTATATTGTAAAAAAAAAAATCTCTTCCCTGAGAAAGAAGTACACTCTACTCAAAAATGATGAATTATGCCATCTGGAGGTTTTTCAAAATGAAATAGATGCCAATAGTGCTCAGTAAAACTCCAACCTGACTGCCACCAGGCCTTCTTACACCATTCATACTGTTTTTTTTTTTTTTTTTAATATTTTTTTATTTATACAAGCACCGGGTACAGTCAGAAGTGCGGGAGGGTGAAAGAATTCACCAGAGCGGGGAGCAGAAGGACCAAAGTACACTGCTGAGGGGAGCAGCGGGCGGCAGGCGAGGTCTGCGGGACCCTCCTCCAGTGGCCGGGGAGCAGCCGGGGATCGAACCGGCGCAGCAGAGACTGCGGGCAGCTTCACGACCCAACACTCAACCGTCTGCGCCACAGAGGTCTGCACGCCATGCGGGACCCTCCTCCAGTGGCCGGGGAGCAGCCAGGGATCGAACCGGCGCAGCAGAGGCTACAGGCAGCTTCACGACCCAACGCTCAACCGCTGCGCCACCGGGGAGGCCCACCATTCCTACTCTGAATAACCCTAGATGAGTGTGTTTGTCAGTGGTGGTCAGTTACACGTAAGCCGAAACACCTGTAACACATTTAGTGCTATTACATTAAGTGATTGTTAAAACAATCTTAGAACACGGTGTCATTACTATCTTCATCTTACAATAAAAAACAAAGGATAGAAAATGTGTGGTCCATAGCTAGTTAAGTGACACAGTTAAACCAGAACACACTTTTCCTCTGGTTCTAAAATAAGACATACTTGTTGCTGGGTATTCAGTGTTAATCCCCTATTTCATATCTCCTAAGAGAAACAATAAGCCTCTTACTTGTCAGGCAGCAACTCTGCAATGAAGTTTTCTACGGACACAGCAATCTGCTTTTCATGGATCACTCCCGATCGACGCAAACTATCTATCCGTTCCTGGGCACCCTGGAAAACAACAGTGTTGATCAGAAACCATTTCAAACTATTCACTAACAAATACACTAATTTACAATTACAGAAGTAATACACAAAAATATATACACAAACATATATAAATTTATTGCAAAAACAAACTAAGTATAGAGAGAATAAATTAAATCCAATTGTGTTCTCAGTAGCAACAGTTTGGCGTGTACCTTCTAAATTTTTCCCATATGCATTATTATTTTGGTTACATTATTTTATATACCCTAATTGGTTATTTCTAACATTAGGACACTATGTAATTTATGATGTTACTTTGGCAAAAGATCATCTTACTGAATAAAAATCTCAGTCCTAGTAGCTTTTCAGTTAATTCTCTCAAAATTTCTACAGTAAAATTTTTTTTCTGATTTCATTTTAAATTAGCCTTAAAATATGCACTGGAATGAGTTATTTTTAAAATCCTGCAAATCTATACATCACACAATAGCTTATTCAAAAAATGGGCACCATTCATGAAACCAAGTAGTTTTGAACACTACACACAACTAAGGAATTAAATTCATGTCTCACAGTAAAAAACAAAAAGCTGAATTGAAAACAAATAGTAGTCACAAATGATATATATTCAAAATGCAAGATAAAGATCTATTTCTGAATAAAACTAGTAAATAATAACAGCAGAACAAAACACTGAATGAGATTAAGTGGTCATTGCAAATAAGTTAGAGTTTAAATGAAAATTAAGAAAAAAGAAAATTAAGAAAGCTGGAAACACTGCGTTTATTTCAGAAGCAACTTATAAAATGACAACTGTCTCAAAATGGGTAAACAATTTTAAGACATTGATTTATAAAGATGAAGGATAAATAAGTATGATTTAGATAAGAAAATAAAGATCATAATCTTACTCTTCAATCTCTAGTACCCAATAGGCATTCAGTAAAAACTACATGAACAACTGAATAAAGGAAAAAAATAAAGGGCCCGTGAAGGCTTGTATCACTAAAGTTAAGAATCTAAATAAGCAGTAATAATTGGACTGCCAAATCTAGTAATAGTGAATGAGGCACCTGTGGAATTTGGAAAAATATGTAACATGTTTAAGATGAACATCATTTCTTAAAGTGAATTTGTAAATCTAATTCACTCCTATAAAGAAGTTGATTTAGTAAAAACTTTTTAAGGGATTAATGGGATGTTTATAGATTCACCCCTAAATCTGAAGGCAGTATCTCAGCTATTCACAATGAAATTTTTCTAGATTTTCATACTTCCAGGAAACAGAGAGAGACTATGTTTAAGTTTGTTCACTTTTCATTATTGTAAAACACAGTACAGAGCTTTGTACTATACAGGGTTGAAAAAAATATTTAATTGAATTTAGTACCTATAAGAAATAGGATAATAAGCTAAGCCAAAGTTTTTTGGAGAGAATATGGACAAGCGGGTATATCAGCCTCTCTTCTCCTTTAACTACAATATAATGAAATGTGGCATCCACTGGAGTTTCGAACACTGACTTTTTAATAATTAGTTCCAACTGGTGTTTTGAGAATAGAATATGTAATACTTACTGTATGAGGATCAAAATAAAGTAGATTAGAGGACAGTGATGTGACTATCTCAACTGAAGATAAAGAAAGGATCCTAGAGCCCATAATGTACTCAAGAGCTTACAGTGAGCAATATGGTTCAATCAAATTCCCATGCTTTCTCGAAGTGTGTTATAACTTCTAGTTGAATAGAAGTTATAAAACAATGGTCATAATTATGACTTGCTTTTCAATTAAATTAACACGGAAGTTTTAGAAACTTCCTAATTTTATCAGATTAAACAAATTCACACATGTTTACCAGAAAACTTAAATTCAGTTAAAAAAAAATCTATTCATTTCAAATAAAATATGATAGGAAAAAAACTAGGTTGAAAATTTAACAGCCCCGGATACTACAAGATTTCCCTCTCACTAGCTCCCTCTGTTGTTTCTAGAAAAGAAAAAAAAGCTGATAAATTTGCACATCACTTTCTTCTGTATCAGTTTCAATGATTTTTAATGTTAAATTTGTATTAACCTACTGATTTTAAATATTTTCTGTGAAATGGTATTTAAAGCAATAAGCTATTTAAAACCCATGTTTTAAAAACCAGCATGAGAAAGCAGGTTGTCTACTTAGCCACAACTAATAATTTCGTTATCTGAATTCATTTTCTTTATACTCACAAAAAATTTATAATTTTTTTTCCTTTTTTCTCAATTGATTTCACTACCATCTTCTTAAATATGTCACGTTTTCTCCCTTTCGTCATGATTCTAATGACAAACCTGCACATCAGGCCATGGTCACCGGTCTCCATAGCTGACTCTTTGGCGTCAGTCTACTGCCCTGGCTGTCAACAATCCCCATCGCCTCTGCCTAGATTCTCACCCTGAAACATAAATCTGTAAATTCCAATTGGCTAATATAACATTTTTAAGTTTTAATTGCTCAGAGCTAAATATGCTTTACTAGAGAATAAATAAATCGCTTTGCCACCTTTTCTAAAAAGTAATGCAAGTACCAACCTGAATATCATATTTATATGTTTCACATTTTACAAAAGGCCCTTGAATTTAGTCTAACTTCCTGAAAATGTACTCCCCTTCCTCGTCCACTAACATTCTAGCTTAGGCTTTTCTCCAGGTTATCCTCTGAAACTAAATCTTAAAAAGTTTCCCGAAAGCATTCTTGAAATCTTCAAAGTACAGCACAATCTGGGTATACTTGTTTTAGTTTAAAAAAAACAAACAAACAAAAAAAAAAAACCCCAACGACCCATCAAAATGCTCACTTCACCTCATGTATACCTGGTTTCATGTACAATTATTGTAGGTATGCATTTTATCCATTTACTGCACTTTTAAATTTCCAGATTGGATGGAATTGAACCTCTACAGCCACCAGTTACCTTTGCTGTGTTTTAAGAAAGACCAAATCCCTACCACCATAAAAAAACTTTCAGCGCATTGCGCACTGGGATTCAAACACCAGGGAAACCCACCAAGAGAGTAAATGACCAAATTCATACCCATTATGGAAAAATATTTAAAGTGCATGATTTTGGCGGCATCATTCTCTGTGTGAAGATGGATGTCTCTGCAGTGAAAGACAGGATGTAATTTGAATCATGTTATAAATGTAATACATTGCATTTAGAGACAGCTATTGTTGCAAAAATCTCAAAAAGCTATTTTTGGAGTGTGTGCATATTTGAAAGAAACCTTATTTCATATAAATAAAGTACCATACATAGTTAAAAAAATCATCTCAAATTTGTGCAGCACTATCTGCAGAATTAAAGATATCTAATATCAATGTTGGTTTATGTTTAGTGATTAATTATAATCAATAGAACATTTTTCCTAATAAAATGTGCTATGCCAATTGCCTCATTTGAATATTTTATATATATTACATGCATGAGTTTGCATGAGTAGAGGTATGCATTTATATAAATCACCAGGCTCACTGGATTCTCAATAAATGTAAGCTATCATGTAAAATAACAGAAGATCAAAGCAGACAACCCAATCAAAAAATGGGCTCACAAGAACTAAAAAGACACTTCTCTACAGAAGAAAGGCAAATGGCCACAAGCATATGAAAAAAATTTTAACATCACTATTTATCAGGGAACTGCAAACGAAAACCACAACGAGACACTAGGAAGAACGCAAGGGAATATGGGGATGGCTCACAGGTAGGTGGTGGGAGAACTATGGGGTGGGGCCTACGATGATGTAAAGAAAAAAATATAGAAAAAAAAAATCTTATCAGAATGAATTTCTCCTTAAATCTAAGATCAATCCATCCTCTTTACACATGAATTATGTATCTGGGACCTTGCCTACTTGCTAAAATTTATTTGAAACCACAAAAGCAGATGTGCACAGAGCCACAAAAAACTGGCCTTGCCTGATGCACACATTCCCAATGACACTCGGCCTTATTTTAGCTCTCACTGGAAACAATGCTCTTTTTGCAATCGAATTAGTGCTCTGCATTCCACATCTTTGTGCTTTTTGTTGAATACGTTGCTGTTTACTATGGCCAAGTATAGTGCTGAAGTGCTGTGTGGTGTTCGTAGGCACATGAAGCCTTGACGTGCCTCATGGTAAGAATGTGTGAGGCAAATCTCATTTAGATATGTTACAATGCCTCTAGCCATGGGAATTTAATGTTAAAGAATGAAAAATACACATATATTAAAGTATGTTTACACAGAAGCACACTTGAAAGTACTGATCAGATGGTAAAAATGATGTGACTAGAGAGACTCCCAAGGACCTAACCCTATACGCCCCAGGAACTCCAGATCAGTTTTCCCTAATTCAGTGTTTCAGCAATGTGACAGAATGTTACAAAGTATAATTATGACAAATAATGAGCATTGTCTGTAGTTGCATATTAGATCATTTGTAAATATGTTGTTTATAATACTATTCTTAAATTTTAACTATTTTTAAATGAAACCAGCAAAGCTCTCTTTAAACATACCCGAAAGAAACTAAAATCTGTTGCTCTTTGATACCCACCATTATCTATTTTAAAATGCCCAAACAAGTACTTATTTAATCATGCTCCATTTTCTCCGAGCCAAATTTATATTAATTTTCTACAACGAGGCACCCTATCACGTGATAAATTTATGTGCTTAAAAATCTTTCACTGATTACCTTAATGTCTGTGACAAAAAAATAGGACATAAATTGAAATTTTCAATTTAAAAAAATTTCCTATCATATAGTAAGGTTGTGTCAAAATATTTATCTAGATATTATTGTTGCAATTATTATTTACATATAGCTGACTGCTCTAAAAGCAAAAGTAATTCTGGAGGGAAGTCTTAATGAAATGGAGAAGTATTTTGTGCCTCCCCTTCCTTGATCATGAAGGAACACATGATGTTTCAGGAATCCATGAGGAAATATTAATATTAATAAGGCGATAGCAAAAATTCTATTCTTATCTGTATCTCATTTTAAAGAAGGAAAACTTGTTTATAGAAATAAATAGATGGGAACGAAAGGAATTTTGTTTCAGCAATATAAATTTCTGAAATTTTCTGAGTTAGTATTCCTAAAAATCACAAGATGATGTAATAGCGAAACTTACTAATGATGTGTCAGTTGACAACTCCATGTGGTCCTTTCTCAGTCTGTTGAGAATAAATAATTGGAAACCACAAGACTTGCATAAGAATTTTACCTACTCTTTGTTATTTGTCTTCTTGATTTCTAAAACAATATTGTGAACTGTCCATTCAAATGACAGTAGGGGAGTTCTCAGTAAGTGGTAAGAAGTATGTGTTTCTTTTCCAGTGGGGGAGCACAGGGTGTGCTGCGATGGAGACGGAGAGAGGCAGGCCGCCTCGCCAAAGCGTGTATTCAGCAGACTGTGTTAGTGAAGAGTACAGAGGGAAGCTGAGTAAACAGAAGTTGAGTTCCTTAAAACCACCTGGGCCTACTCAAACCTACCAAAATCCCTACGTGTCACTAGAGAAACCTCTAACCTAATGTGAAGACCACTCTTTGGCCATAAAGGTACAATCAAGGTACAGCAACAGGTAGAAATCTAGAGTTCTGTTAAGTGAAAAATCGATTGTTCTCATAAGAACGGACAGAGTATTACACCAACATTCAACACAGATCACACAGTGAAAACATCTTTAGTATTCATCTGCTCACTTAAGGAAATAGATTATCAATTTAAAAAAATTTCCCTAGCATTTTGAGTTCTGTTGTTTGGGGTTTTATACCAAAACATCTTGATAAGATTGTTAGATAATCATTTTATTTATTTATTTTTTTACCAGTATGAATGTTTTTTTTTCTTTTTTTCTTTTTAAAATAATAAATTTTATTTTTATATTCCCCATACAATTGCAACCCCCCATAGATAATCATTTTAAAGGACACCAAGCACTATTCTAAGAGTTCACTGTAAACAAAGACCTTTGTTCTTGTGGTACTTAACTGTACACAAGAGAAAATTCAATGAGAAAATTCATTCCAGAAATTAATAATATAAATGTAAATTACATACTATATCAGATGTGCTGAATGCTATAGGAAAAAAAATGAGAAAAGATCAGGAGTGCAGGGTGGGGAGATGCAGACTGCAGCATGACACAGGTTAGTCAGGACAGGCCCCGCTGCGGAATCCCAACATGGGTGAAGACCTGCAGGAGGTTAGGGAGTCAACCAAGTATATATGTGAGGTTAGAGTGCCCCAGAGAGAGGAAACAGCCAGCCAAAAGTCCCCTGAAAGAGAGCAGCATGGCAGAGGAAACTGGAGAAATGCCAGAAGGCCAATGTCGGGGACGAGGGGGAGTCTAGTGGAGATGAAGCAGGAGAAGAAACAGATGCCAAGTCACCCAGATCATGTGGGGCCATGGAAGCCATTATAAGGAATTAAGGTTTTCACTGAGTAAAATATGAAGTTTTGAAATTAAAAGTGACAGGGTCTGACCTACACTTTGAAGGGGTTACCCTGACTACTCTCTTGAGAATAACATATAAAGTTCTAAATGTAGACGTTTAGGAAGTGATGGTAAGGTTCCAGCAAGACACTGGGAGGCTCCAACCAGGGGGGCGGCAATTGAGATAGTGAAAAGTAGTCAGCTGCTGGATGTAATAGAAAAGCAAAGAGAACAAGGTTTCTTGATGAACTGGATCTGGAAAATGAGTGAAGTCAAGGGTGACTTCAAGGTTTCTCATTGGAGGAAAAAGAGGGATAGAGCTGCCATCAACTGAGATGGAGAAGGATGACGGCAGAAGGTTGTAAGGAAAGAAAAGCAGGTCAGAACTGGACATTATTTAGTTCAAGACATTCAAGTAAAGGTGTCAAAAGGGCAACTTTTATATGAATCTAGTTCACGGGCAGTCTCTGCTAGAAATATGAATTTGAAACTGTTGGCACAGAGATAGTATAGATTACCAAGGGGGTGAACGGAGATAAAGACCAGAGCACAAGGAGGTTGGGCTGAAAAGGAACCACCAGCAAAGGAAGCAGAGATGAGTTTATAATTAGTGAAAAAGGGGAACAAGTCACAAACGTGGGATCCACAAGTTAAGGTAAAAAGACATTACAAAAGAGTCAATGGTCAATTGTTGCAATGCCACTGGCAGATTAAGATGGAGAACTCTGGTAACGAAGAGCATTCTCACTGGAGTGGTTAAGCGTGAGAGTATGGCTAGGATGGGTTTAAGATAATGTGAAGGAAAGCATTAGAGAGAGGGCTTGAAAACTCTGGAAAAGTTTTCTTGCAAAAGCAAAATGAGGAGATGGAAGTGAGATCAAGAAATATTTTTAAGTTTTATTTGGGTTATTATTTTTTAAGGAGGAAGAGATGTCTGTATGCAGATGGACTGTTTGCTTGTTCTTACATGTTCATATGCTGAAGGTAAAAAATGTATGAGGGGGCAGAATTCTTGCAACTTTACACAGCTGGCTACAGGGGTCAGATCTAGTATACTGGTAATGGTACTGGTTTTATGGACGACAAGCTCTTTAATAATAACAGGCCAGAAGACAAAGTGGTCTAAGTGCACAAGTGTGTGAAATATTTCTTCAGTATTAGTCACTCTATCATCCATCCGTTCTGTGTAGGGATCATGTATGGTATTCAATCATAAGCTCCTCTTCTCTCACTATGGAAACTCTAAGGCAGAATCTTCTTTTTGATAAGTGGGTTTATTGCAAGTTATATGATATAGTGGGTCTCCATAACCTGATGAGACCTTCATAAGCTCCGGTTATGTACAGTCATTGTGCCTATAAGGTGCGAGGTAGTCAGAGCTTAAAAGCAAGGGAATTAAGAGGAAGGGTAAGAATCAAAGAAAGCAAACTAAGGAAAGCCTTCTGGATGATTGCCAAGTACCCACACCAAGTATTAAGAGAAAAGAAGAATCAACTTACTAGAACCTATAACTACTTTGGAAACTTCTAGATATGAGAGTCCCATGAGCCGTGAAGAAATACACTTAAGTGTAGTAAAGTATTACCGGGACAGAGATGAAAAGCTTGTAAGATTCAAGGGATATTGTAATTTTAGTAACAGATTTAAGTGTCCACTCTGGGTTAAGCCCACTTTCAGAACTACTTTCGTTTTTTTACCCTCTGCATGTTTCCTCTCATCCCCTCCACAAATCAAAACATTTATAGGTTTCTTTAAACTAAAAACCCCACTATAATCTTCATACTCTATAGAGTAATACAATTAAAAACCAAGCTGATCAACATTTCAGGATGTAAAAACCTGTTTACTCATTATAAACTATATTATCATCCACTATCAGAATTATGAAAATGTTATCTACCAGTTTCTGTATCCTGAAAAGGGTATTCTATTACTCACTTTTAATCCAGCTGCATATCCCACTGGTTGTGGGGCAATATTGGATTGTCCAGCTTCCCCTACAACCACAGCCAAGCCAAAGACCTCCTGGAAGGCATCTCGAACAGCAGCAACTTTCACTTCTTTATTTGAGGTCACTACAATATCCAGTTCACCACCAGATTCTGTAAAGGTAAGAAATTTCAATTCCAAATTAAAATAATGAAATTCTCATAATTACTACTATATGCTATCATTTTATTTACATAATTATTACTAACTTCACAGGTGACACAAGATATAGGTTAATCTTTTTATATGGCAGATGCATCTGATGCTGATAAGGTCCTGCCCTGGGTACCACTGTTACTCAGCAATGATGTCAAGGATCCAAACCTAGGTTGTCAGACTCCAAAATGCCCTTTTCTACAAACCTGTCTTTAGTTTTAATCATCAGAATTTAATGCATTATTTGAGGAAGTCTCAATTGCAAGCAGAAGATGGTATACACCTTCAAATAGTCTGAGTATCATATGTGTCATAGAGCATTTTTCTGTATTTTATGAAATACTATTCCAGAATATATTAGTAGATCCCCTTGAAAACAAGCTAGTCCTGTCATTTAAAAATAACATATAGCAAAAAATAAATGGATAGTTATTTATAAGTTATATACCTACTGCTGTCCTAACACAAATATACCTAAATATTTCAACTATTTAAAAAACCTCTGAACTATTTAGACAGATTGACTTGCTCAAATATACCTAATGTTTTTAATTCTTAATCTAACATTTTATGATAGAGTGAATTCAAAGATCTGGCTGTTACTTAGCATTAAACGGCTATCTCTGGTAAGAGATTTCTCAAGAAAACTGTACTATTAAAGTTTGTCCCAGAAACAATGCTCTTTTTTCCCCTAATAAATATATTGTGAGACAACTGAAAATATTACCAAAAACTTGGTTTTTCTTTTTATTGTGGATCTTTTTCCTGGTAGACACAATGTTCCACAGATTTCATTTCACTTGAATTTTGTAAGTTAATAAAATCAAAGAGCAATGGATCACATATGAAGAGGAAGAATATATTTTTTCTTGACATGGGACATATCTCTTGGCCCTAGCTAAGTAATGCTCCATTAACTATCAGCTTAAATTGTCAGCCTTAGTACTGCCTTAAACTTAATGAAGGGATAACTAATAAAAAGAATATAGCAGGTTAAACTGTGTTAAAATCCATTTGTAATTGATTTTGTACTTACTTAATACATCTGAAATTGTTACTGTGATTTCTAGAATATCTGAACAAAAGTACCTTAATTTTTAATTTGAATTTTTTTAAAGTTTATTTATTTATGCATACAAGAGCAGGGGTACAGGCCAGAGTGTCAGGGGTGAGAGGATTCACCAGAGACAGAGTGGGGAACAGAACAGGCAGACTGACGTAAGTATACTGCTGAGGGGAGCAGGGGGCAAGTCAGGAGAGGTCTGCTGCGCCATGTGAGCTGCTCCCTGGCCAGCCAGGGATCAAACTCGGATCGAACTTGTGCTGCAGAGGCTGAGGACAGCTTTATAAGCTGAGTCTTAACCCCTTGCGCCACCAGGGAGGCCCCTGTTTTGAATTTTGTTAGAATGGTCTTATTTTTGCTGCCTGTGAGTGTTAAATTTTCATAGTTTTACTGTTTTATAATGACCTGATTAAGATTATGTATTGTAAGTTATGATATCTGCTAAAAATATAAATCTAATTATCTTTATCCCATCCTACTCCCTTGCTTTTTTGTTTTTTCTTATTTAATGCAGGTTCCTGGCTTGAGAAACAATCTTGGATTTCAGTCCAAGATTTCTGGGAGAAATCACTGAGCTTGTTTCTCTAAGGATTAAATAAAGTAATTACTTTCTCACACTAATACAATATGCATTGAAATAGCAAGAGCTCCAAAAATACTCATTTCTTTCCTTTCTTCATTCACAACGTAAAGAATACATATGATCCATCAATTATGTCATTATGTTGATGATGTCAAACTTGGTTATTATGAATACAGAAAAACCAATGTATACTTGGGTTCCAATTTCTTTTTTTTTTTTTTTTTTTTTTTAAAGATTTATTTATTTTATTTATTTATACAAGCACTGGGTACAGTCAGAAGCGCGGGAGGATGAGAGAATTCACCAGAGCCAGAGAGGGGAGCAGAACAGGCAGAAGGACCGAAGTACACTGCTGAGGGGAGCAGCGGGTGGCAGGAGAGGTCTGCGCACCATGTGGGACCCTCCTCCAGTGGCCGGGGAGCAGCCAGGGATCGAACCGGCGCTGCATAGGCTGTGGGCAGCTTTGCAACCCAGCACTCAACCGCTGCGCCACCGGGGAGGCCCTGGGTTCCAATTTCTAACTCCTGTGACAGTTATAAACATAAAGAACATCTCAAGAGGATTTAATTCTTGATTCAATATTCCTCTTCACCCAAACAGAAACAACATAGAGAATTGTCCATGGGCCCAATCTAGCTGCACCAACTTGTGTGACCTCTTAAATCTCTCTAAACCCTGGTTCTTCATCTAAAACTTGAGGACAATAGGGCCTCCCCAGTGGCGCAGCTGTTGAGCGCTGAGTTGCAAAGCTGCCCGCAGCCTCTTCAGCGCTGGTTCGATCCCCAGCCACCGGGTGAGGGTCCCGCATGGCGCGCAGACCTCTCCCGCTGCCCGCTGCTCCCCTCAGCAGTGTACTTCATCAGTCTGCCCGCTCTGCTCTCCGCTCTGACTTTGGTGAATTCTCTCACCCTCCCACGCTTCTGATGGTACCCAGTGCTTGTATAAATAAATAAATCCTTAAAACAAACAAATAAATAAACAAAACTTGAGGATAATAATAACTACCTTGCAGAGTTCTTATGAGAATCAGGGCCTGGCAGAGCAGCATTTAATAAACAGTACTTATCATTATTAGATCTTGTCCTTTGACATTTATTAGACAGAGACTACCAACACAGCCAAGGCCTATGAAAGCTATTAACTTTTTATTGTCATTGAAAAGCTCCATTCAGTAGCTGGTGTAGTCTGGGCCTATATGTTATTAACTTTAACAGTTACTAATCCTGCTAGGCAATTATGTTTTTTCCACATATCGGATATGTACATTAAGTATTAGAAAAGCATGTCTATGTTAACGATCTGGATTCTTGGTATTAAAGGTTCAAAGGTGGCTACAACAGCTTTCCTAATAAACCTAACAATCAGATATTATTAATAAATGATTAACTACCACTAAAAACATTATCTGAGTTAATTCCTGAGACATGCATAAACACATTTAATTAAAATAGACTACAGGAGAAATGGAAAATCAAACATGAGCATAGCATCACTTCAAATGTCAGTTGGGAATACAGTAAAATTCATATAAATCAACTATACTTACAATTAAAACCATTAAGTATAATAATAATTCATAGCATTTTTACTCCTCCAGATTTTATTCTGTGTTTTCAAACTTTAATGTGACTAAGAAAAAGATGAATTAATAATACTGAAACTAACAACTGTGTAAGAATGTGAGGTTTTCAATGATTATAAAGACCTGTGGAATTATAATGACCGACACTGGTATTACTTTAAAAAAATATGGTAAATGCTGGTCTGTCTAAAGTACATACTGATATATGGAGCCATTCCAGGGTCCAGCGTTGTAATCATGCTTTCTACTGAATGTTTTGTTTTATCAAGCACAGATTTCACCATTGGATTCCCAGCTACACCCTGCAAAAAAAACCAAATTAACATATAAATACCCATTATAAGAAAAAACATCATGATCATCTGATGGTGAAAGAAACGTTTTTTATTATTTCCAATGTGTCACAGACCTGTACTTTTATGATAATATAAGAAAAACAAGGTTATGGTGATGCCAAATTTTTCTTAAGTTTCGAAATGCTTAGTTTCAAGTTCTTATTTTATTATATAAACACACTGAAGTCTGCAGACCAGACTTGAGTACCACTGACCTGGTAAATATCTATGTATAAATATGCTTGTTTCATTATTTATTTGATTTGTATTAATTTACTTATATAAAACCTGCCCACTAGGGTTCCAAAGACTAAAATCAGATATCTCCAAGGAACCAACATTTTTTTCCTAATAAAAAAATAGTTTTCAGAAGACTATGAAACCTTAATATAAAAGGTTTTATGTAGCACAATGTTCATAGCAGCATTATTCCCAATAACTAAGACTTGGAATCAACTTGAAATGCCCATCAACAGACGACTTCGGAAAGAAAGTGTGACATATACAATAGAGAGGCTACTACTCAGCAGTTAATAAAGATGAAATTGTGCCTTTTGTGACAATATGAATAGAACCTGAGGTGATTATGCTAAGTGAAAGAAGTGAGAAAGTGAAAGACAATTACCAGATGATTGCTCTCATTTGTAGACTAGAAATAACCAAAGAGAACAAACTGGCATAACAGAACAAATATAAGTGAGATTTTGTGAAAAATATGGTGGTGGCTACCAAAGGGGAAGAGGTGGGGGACAGTGAGGGATAGAAGGGTTAATGTGACAGTGTACTGACACAGGAGTCAATCACATGCTCATGTCAAGGTGTGCAGTTGTACCCCAGAAAGTACAGCTTTATGAACAAATGACAAATCAGTAAAATCTGATGAAAAATAAAATGCTGATGATGTATACTTAAAATTTTTTTTCATCTTTATTCCCTAAAACTGAGTATGAACCTATTATTCTACTATATTTTACTAAAGTTTCTTTTTCCATACTTCCTGTTTCTTGCTTTGTTCATTCTCAAATTGTTCCTCTGAAGCCAGTATGCTCATCATGCTGTTGATGATGAGAAGTATAATTAGAAAATGCCAAATCACATTAGCAAAACAAAATATGGGAAATAATAGGCAATAACTTGGACGGCAAAGTAGCCATAAAGAAAAAAAAAATTTTTTGAAGAATATTTTATGACTGAGGCAATGTTTCTGACGTATGTTGAATAAAGGCAGGCCACAGTATCCACATATCACTACTCCAATCTGATTTTTCTTAAAAAAAGTGGTTTGTCTACATCAGTATGTACATACAAGATACAGAATGATAATAAAAAAGATTTTTATTTATTTTCAGAGTTCTAATTTCAAAACTATTAGTTTAACAATTAAAAAATTAAGTGTAGTTTTAAAAATAAATACCCTTACCTTAATAAAACCCCAGAGTCCACCAGCAGATGCTTCATCCTGAACTTTAACAATTCTAGGATCTTCTTGTTCCTCTGGAAAGGTGATGGCTGATGTGGTTCCAGGTCCCTGTGCCAGAGATGTCAAACTGGCTTGCTGAGTAATAGGAGTTGGCACAACACCTAGTTGATGAAGAAATTTTATACAATAAATAATTACAAACAACTTTAACAACATATTATTGTATTAGCCTATATATTAATTATAGCTACATAAACAATTATATAATTATGGCATAATTAATCTACATAGTTAAGTATTTCAAGATTGACTTATAAACGAAAAGAATCACCTAAACCTGTATTGAAAAATACAAATTGAACAAAATTTTAAAAAAAGAAATTTCTTGCTCTTTTGAAAGGTTATATATCAAGGGTCCTCAAAATAGATAACAGCATCAAAAATTATTTCATGTTTACCTCACACAGCACTTGGATACAAACAGCTGTAGTTCTAAAGACTTGTGGTCTCTTTATGGTATAAAAGTAACAGGTATGAGCACACAAATCCATCCTATAAAAGCATGTAACAACTAGCATACATATACCATATACCCTATTTTAACCCTAAAAAGAAAACTCACACGTACATAGACATGGTTATTATGTAAACCTCAAAAATTTTTATTTATAAAGGTAGATAAGCAAAGTTGGGATAAGAAAAATCACAATAAAGTTGCTTCTATTCCTAAAATGAAAATCAATAGGAAGAAAACAAAAATGAAGTTTTGATAGTGGTTTTCAACATCCATTCAGGAAACATCAACCAAAGCAACAGTCATGAAAAGCAGATGTAATTGTTCTAGAAGATGAAATGGCCAATACTTAATGGCTCACATGAACTTTTATTCAGTTTTTAATTTTTACCTAGATCAACAAAACTACCTCCCTGGAATATTCAGTCCTGATCATTTTGTAAGTAGAATTCTAAAAAAAAAATACCTCTCAGACTTCACCTTCATGTTTCTCTAAAAGTACAGAAAATGTTAAAACAAAATTTTGAAATTTTGTCTGATACTTCATATGCAAATCATATATAATCACCTTCATTTTAATAATTTAAATGACAAAAATATGAAAATTGTAAACTCTGGAAATCAAATTAATGAGTTAAGAATAAAACATTAATGCACAGGAATTACAACAATTGCAACCTTTATACACTGGCAATCAGTCTGGCAGTTTTTAAAATATCAATTAGCTGTATCCCCAAGAGGAATGAAAACAGGTCCATGCGAACCTTTGTACACAAGTTTTCATAAAAGCAGTATTCATAATAGCCAAAAGGTGGAAATAACCCAAAGCTCATCAATTGATGAATTAAGCAGATAAAATGCAGTATATCTATTACTCAGCCTTATAAAGTAATGGAGTACTGACACATCCTACAACATGGATGAACTTTGAACAGACTTTGCTAAGTGAAAGTCAAACACAGAAGGCCACATTCTGTAATACTTGATTTATATGAAATGTCTGGAATAGGCATATTCAGAAAGCTAGAGAGACTTGTGGTTGCTTAGCACTGTGAGCATTGGGAAGATGTAGGGATTGACTGCAGTTATGGGATATCTTTGGGGATGATAAAAAGGGTCTAAAATTGATTATAGGGATGGGTGCACAACTCTTTAAAATACAGTGACAACTATTGAATTGTATACTTTAAATTGGTGCATTACATGGTACATTAATTATATCCCAATAAAGCTATTATTAAAACAAAATACAGCATCAGCCATAGTGATTATTTCAAAATAAGAGAATTACCTGTTACTGGAGGTGCAGAAAATGACGGCATGAGGGGTGTCTGGGGAGCTCTTCCTGCATGACCCCTTGTAATGTCATAAGCTGAACCAACAGAAAATCCTGATGTAGGAGGGCCAGCGGAGGGCGCAGATACAAGAGTACTTGGGTCAGAGGTGGACGGTGGGAAGTGAGATGAAGATGAAGGAGGATTACTAAAGGCATCAGCAGCTGCAGACACAGGAGGTGCAACAGATGAAACAAGTGGGGGGACTGAAGGAACTGGTGAAGGAGCCACAAAAGGCAATGATGCTGAAGGCACCCCAGAAGGGGTTGGCTGAGGTGTAGAGAATGCATATGGTGGCAAGGTCTGCATGGAGGATACGTTTGGAGAAGAAAAAGAACTGGTTGCAGCTAGAAAGAAATGGGGAGGGAAAAAAAAACAAAATTGGAAATTGTTTTTAGTTTTCAAATTACAGAATTCTTGCAAAATTTTAGAACTTAACAGACCATATCCCCCAACATTTTAAAAGCCAAAACAAAAAAGTTAATCATTTTGAAAGGTGTCATTTAAAGTATACTACAAATAAGTGCAAATGACTTTCAACTCCCATAAGTAAAAACAACAGGTATGTAAAATTAAGTTATTGCTTGTAAATACATCTTTGTTGTTCTATTATTTACTTTGGTGCTTTTTTTTTTATTAAATAAAATAAAGCTCCTAATTAAAGACTCACTAAAGACTTCAAAAACACTGGTCAGCAAAGTAATCACCACAAAGTAATAAAAATTGAGACAAAACTATCACATGTTTTTAAGGATATTTTTGTTCTAAGAGAGGTGATTTAGAGTCAAAATGAATATAAAGGACAAAAATTTAAAGAAAAAAGTTTTCTGTCTCTAGGCTTAAATTTAAAAGTCTATTTCCCTTTATGCTGGCAAAGATCAAATATATGCATTCCTTTTTTAATTGACAATTGCAAAAGGATAACAGTATCTTCACTATCCTCAGAACACACGCGATGCTAGCCAGCAGCTCCTACCTAGAGGAGCCGGCGTGGAAGACGCTGCAGCAGCAGCAGCCAGTGCAGCAGGATTCAGTGGAGGAGTCCCAGGTGGTGTTGTCTCTATGCCACTCTCTTCCATCATTTTTCTTCAATTATAGTAACTGTAAAGGTACAAATGTGCTATAAATAATAGGTAATAAAAAGGATATTTATGTATAGAGAACTTTAAAAAGTAATCATAAGACAGATGTCTGTCTTCACTATTAATACTATCACTTATATCCGGATAAAGGTTTATAGGGTAAAGGAAATCAGTCTTTTTACGCCATTACCTCTGCAGCCTTGACCACATTAATGTAGAAGGCACTTGGGAGCAAGGGCTCAGGGCACACGTGCCCAATTATGGACACCTGTGCATGGGTGTGTGCGCATGTGCAAGTATGCACACCTGTGCCTAGGAGGGAGGGGATAAAAGGAAGGTTATGGGAGGACGAGCTGCGTGACTACAGAGAGGCGAGACCACGAGAATGCCAGCGCGGCCCCAGGAAAGGAGCATGAAGATTCACTCACTTGCCTGCCTGCTTCCCAGGGGCCCTCTGCCCGGCCGTTGCCCGCCTCCTCCTCACAAGCCAGCCTCGCTGCCCCGTGTGCCTGTGGACCTGGTATCCTGAGAGAACGTTAAAGCCTGAAAAATCCACTAAGGCCTCGGACTCCCCTTTATCCATCTGCCCAAATCCATAGTGTCACTGCCTTGTTTGGTGGCACAACAAGGTTCTATCAGAATTTCTAAGAAAACTCTATGACAATGTTTAACATGAAAATCATCTGTGGCATTTTAATACCCATACTTTGTAACTGGGAGACAATTTGATGTTAACTATATAATTAATTATCCAATATATTTCAAAGGTAAATTACTAATTTAATTTCGATGACATAAATGCATGTCAAGTGTATATCTGCATTTCAGTCATTATTAATGTAAAATAAAAATAAATTATTTAAACTATTTTTGAAGTACTTTCTCTTTCCCCATAAAGCAGTAGGCTACTCCTATTAGTATTAAAGGAAAAATGTAAGTGTGCTCAATTCTCAGTTCTCCTAGTTTATATGTTAAAACATACCTAGTAATGGCCAAATAAGTATTTCTGGCTTTAGGAAAGTTAAACAAAAATGCTACTCAACAACAGGGTCCTAACAGGTAATAATGGATTATAAGACAAGGGAACACTTCCTTAACAATTTCAAATTTTCAAGTATATACTCAAAACTTCTAAATATGCCAGGTTTGGGGTTTTTTTTTTTTGATGTTTTCACAATCTTCTAACAAAAATTTATTGAAGGTGTACACTGTTTGCCGAACACTATCCTGGTGCTCAGGAAATACAATGTAAACAAAAACACTCTACTTACAGTAAAGCATGGAGACAACCAAGGAGTAACACCCACTGTATAAAGAATTACAGCCTGAATTAGGAGCTGCACGTGTCAGAACACTTCTTTTTCATAGGAATAGGATTTTAACTTGGAACTCAAGAAGAAGTTATCCAAGAAAGTCACATATTCGCTAAGATCTCAAGGATGAGCAGAGCTGAATTAAGCAGGGGAAAGGAGATAAAGAAGTAAAATTTCAGGATAAAAGCTCTATAAAGTGGAGGGAATGAGAGAAATTCAAGAAAACCCAGGAGGGCAAGGAAGGTGAGACTGAAGACTGGGGAGAGAGGCTGGAGAAAGCCTGTGCTGAGCCTTACCAGTCAGGTTAAGGAACTTTTTTTTTTTTTTTAAGGAATATGAAGTCATTGTAGTGCATTCAACCAGGGGATAAGGTATTAGTCTTTTGTTGGCACTTCGAGAAGAAATTTTACATTCACAAGGTGCAGAAACAGAAGAGTTCTGCATGATTACCCTACCCCCACGCGCTCCCAGTAATAATTAACAGTGGTACAATACCAGCAACTAAACTGCAACCTGTTTTGGATTTTACCTGTTTTTACATTCACATGTGTAGTTTCATCAAATGCACAGCCTTATGTAGCAACCAGCATAATGAGGATACAGAACAAATCAATCACCCCAAAGTAACTTTTTCATGTTATCTCTTCCCAGAAACCAACTGTTCTCTATCATCTTCTCATTTCATAACTGTTACACAAATAGAATCATACAACATATAACCTTTTGAGACTGGCTTTTTTCACTCAGCAAAATGTCCTTGAGATCCATCCAAACTGTTGGTTATATCAATACTGCATGTGTAGCCTAACAACATTTCAGTTAACAATGAACTACACATACCACAGTGGCTCCAACAGGCAATGCCATACAGCCCAGGTTTATAATGGTTATACAATCTAAGCTTGTGTAATTATACCCTATGATGAATACACAACAACAAAACAGTCTACAAGGCCCCAACACAAAGCCATGCATGGCTGTAGTTGATTTTTTATTGCTGAATAGCATTTCAATTTATAGATGTGCCACCATCTGTTTATCCATTAAGCCACTGAAGGACATTCAGGCTGATTTCAGTTTATGAAAAATTCACATTTGAAAAAATTCCTCTGCTAACAGTATGCAGATTGGGCTCTAGGGCAATCAGAGTAGATGAAGAAAAACCATTAGAAAGGATACAGGAGTTCAAATAGGAAGTGATAATGATAGAAAGGGTCTATCAAATGTGGTTAAAGAGGGCGATTCCATTAACCCATGGGTCATTTGGCAAAGTCTGGAGACATTCTTGGTTGTCAAAAACTAGCGGGGTACTAGTGGCATCTACAAGGTAAAGGCTAGATACTGTTAAAAATCCTTCAATTCACAGGACAGTCACTGGAAGATATAATTACCCATCCCCTAAATACCAATACAGCCAAGGTAGAGAAACTGTGGAATAGACTAAGATGACGATAATGGAGATGGAGAAGAGTGGATACACTCAATAAATGTTTAGGTGGTGAAACTCAGTGAGAGACTGGATATGGGAGCAAGGAGGGCAGGAGGATGAGGCATGATTTGCACAACTGGATAGGGAGCTCTAAGACAGGAACACTGGAAGAAGTGAAGATGTTTGTTTGATGCTTGGGGCAGAGGTGGGGTGGGAATTATACTGTTTTCATACTGAACATGCTGAATTTAAACAGCCTGAAACATCCAAGCAGAAACACTAACTTGGTTTGCAGCTTGGAAACCACTTAAATGTGGTTGATAGTTTGTTGAAGTCATGCTCTGAGATGGGATAACCTAAGAGAATGAACACTGAGAGAAAGGATCCAATCAATACTTGAAGAATCGCCAGTCATGAAAACAAACTTCTAGAGGAGAATGAGAGATGACCAGAAAGGAGGAAAGCTAGCAGGTTTCAAGGCAGAAATAGGGAATGGTATCAAAAGCTGCAGAAATCAATAAATGAAAAATTCCATGATTTGCCAAACTGGAGATGAATATTTTGAGTGAGAGCTGCTCCCATGGAAAGACTAGGTGCAGAAGCCATTTTGCACTGTACTGAGGAGTGAGATGTGAGGCAAATATGCACACTTTCAAAAAGTTTGATGGTAATTACAGAGAAAAGTTTTAGGGCAGCAAGTAGAGGACAGGGATGCAGAGAGGCAAAAAATCCTTTCACTTACTACCTACACAACAAAGTATATAACCTGGGATAGAAAGGGCCGTCTAGAGATTTATCACCAGAGCAACCACATTCCTTCATTTTCCCATTTTTCTAATGCTCATTTATCTCCCATCAACAGACTACCAAACCCTAAGAGTGGCTACAGTGGAAGTCAAATTTAAAGATAATCTGATCCTTAATTAACAAATACGTTGGCAAAGAACGCATACAATGAACACTCCAAAACATGGGAGTGACTGGTCATTTTCTTTCAGTCATTAAAAAGTTTTGTTATTTGACAACCTGGTTAATGACAAAATAGTTGTGCCTCTGTATCCTCAGGGAATTAGATCCAGGACCCCAGTGGAGTTCAAAACCAACTAATGCTCAAGTCGCTTATGTAAAATAGCATAGTATTTGCATGGACACATCCTCCCACGTATGATAAGCCATCTCTAGATAACTTATAACACTTAATGCAATGTAAATGTTATGTAAATAATAGCTACTCAGTATTGTTTAGGGACCAATGACAAGAAACCAACAACCCCAGCAGGTCGATGACTCGCACAGCAGGTCGATGACTCCTACGTATTCCCCTTGGTTGGTTGACTTGACCCCTAGACGTAGAACAGCAATATCCAGGGCAGACGATTGGGTACATTTTTTATGCATAAACATAATTCTGTGGACTAAGGAAAAGATACTCTGATAAAGTAATGATGAAGCACTAGAATCTGCAAAGATTTCAGCATTCAGCCTCCACGTGTTGTATTACACAAAACAAAAAAATGACAGAAAGCGCTTAAAAAATTGAGTCCTCAGTTTCTCACCAGACCCTCCTCTGCCAAACTCCTTGGATCTTGTCTTCTCAATTACAAAGTGGATGACTGCTTACACAGAAAGAAAAGAAACAATGAAACTTCGATAAACGTAAACACTTTAAAAGCAACTGTGACGAGGATGTACTGCCAGTGCAAAAGACAGCCTCTCCTCCCAGCCAATGAGTGCCAGAGCCGGGTCTGAGTTTTTTCTCTGCATTCACAACGCTGTTCCCAAAGAAACATTCAATAATGTTCACTGAATTAAACAGCAAAAAATAAACAATGGACTGTCTAAGTGTCAGGATCCCACGAAAAGTACATTTTGCCTTTCAAAATAATTACAGACCAAAAAATGCCCTTGGCTATAAATACTGCCCATCTAGGGTACTGGCGATCCCGCAGAGCAGGTCCCAGGAATCAGCAGGCTCAACACTGCCGGGGCAACCTCTGGAAAGGCAGCTCCTTCCTACTGTCCTTCCCGGTTTGTCCACCTGGGTGTCCCCAAGGCGGGAGCGGCCGAAATCCTGTTCCTGGAGTCAGCGGCCTCCCCCCAGGCTCTGCCACGTCTCCAGGTCGGGCCGCGGCGGGCTAAGGTCAGCGGGCGCCAGCCCAGCTGCGGGCCCCCCGGCCCCCCCAGCCAGCGGGCAGGAAGGTGGGGGGCAGGAAAGTGGGGCGCAGGGGCCGGGGCGCCGGCCTGGGTCTCCGGACAGGCGCAAACTGCCATGTCGAGCCGCACCCACCGGGCAACTCGCGGCGGGAACTGCTGCCCGGAGAAGCGCGCCGGGGCGTGAGCCCCACCCAGCAGGCCCCCCCACCTCGGCCGAGCCCAGACCCAGCACCCCGGCGCCGGCGCGACCCCCGTCCCCGCGCCCCGCCGGCCGCCCACCCTGCGGGGACCCAGCCCCTGGCGCCCCGTCGCGCACCGTCGCCGCACGCTCGCCCGCGCTGCTGCCGGGCTGACACTCACCTGGAGGGGGCCCGAGGGTGTCTTCGTGGCAGCTGAAAAGTGGGGGCCAGGGCAGTGGGGTGCAAGGCTACAGCTCGGAGAAGCGGAGGGAAGATGCAGGTAAGGGCTGGCCCCCCACGTCCCCGCCTCCAAGATGGCGGCCGCTGCGCATGCTCCTGCGGCTGCCACGTCGGCGCGCGCCGCCCCGCCCTCCTAGCCCCGCCCCGCGCGTCGCCCCGCCCTCCTAGCCTAGCCCCGCCCCTCTCTATGCATCTTCCCTCTGGCCCCACGCATCGCCCCGCCCTCCTAGCCCCGCCCAGCACATCGCTCCGCCCCTCCTAGCCCCACCCACCCCGCGCCCTGCCCCGCACCCCGCCCCTCTCCATGCATCTTCACGCCCACCCCGTGCGTAGCTCCTCCCTTCCAGCCCCTCCCAGCTTGCAACGCCCCATCCCGCCCCGCCCGGGCAGCCGGGTAAATCTCCTTTTAGCCCCCGGGACTTAGTGCTGCCCCACTCCAGAAGCATTCTCCAGTCGGACTGGCCTCCCTTTTACTCCACAACCTCCATACACGAGAGTGGCGCCCTTGTTACCAGGTGTAGCTCATTTATCTTGTGGCATAGCCGCGCCCACAGGCATGAAAACGAGCCAACCGAGGTCATCTAGAACCGTCCTCACCCAAGGCAGGACCTCGCTCCAGGAGCAGGGGGCTTAGCCAGTGTATTTTGAAAGATTCCAAATAGCAGTGGTTGCATCAGGAGAGAGCATGGGGTGGGAAAAAGGCCGCAGCCAGCACTGTTGCTGACTTTTCCTCCAAGCGCATGTTACATTTTTTTTGTTTGTTTTAAATTGATGAAGTTCAACTTTCCTAGCCCTATATACTGCACTTAAATCAGTACCTGGTACAAAAGTGTACATTAAGTAAGTCCATGTGTAACAGGGTGGTCCCCAGGAAAGGGGGAGAGTCACCCAAAAGAAGGGTGGAGCTGAGCAGGGAGAAAAGAAGCTGCAGAGGAGACTGAGGAAGGAAGGAAGCAGGATGGAGAGCCAGAAGGAGACCTGGAGGAGGCACGTGGAGCCAAGAGACATGTGAAGAACAAACTACACTGGCCTTTTGGTAGGGGACTGGTTGACATAGATGTGGGTGAGAGACCCCTGGGGAGGTAACTACGGCGGGTTTTGTCTTGATTTTGATTTTGTTCTTTTCCTTCCAGACTTGTCTGGTTGTTTCTCATACTTTTCTGTGGGTGCCCGCTGGAAGATGCTTTAGACTTGTGGCAGGCTTTGGGGCCTTGCTCTGGGCCAATTCTACATAGGTGGACTTTTACCCACAAGGGGATGGGTAACTTTGGGTGCTTGATTTATAAACTATATTCTTTGCCTTTCCTGTATTATTCACTAATTGTATTAAAGTTCCTTTTCATTAACGTCTCATATGTTTTGTGTTGATGCAGTGGATGGCAGAACCTATTTAGAGCAGGCAGGTTTGTGGGGTCTGGACTGCCCCTCTCCCTGCCCTGGAACAGATGCAAGAAGTGCAATCCAGGAAAATAAGGAATTTCAAATTAGACATTCCTAGTTTGGGTCTGCCACTATCCTAATGCCAGTGTGCATTTGCATGACCTTGTGCAAGTCACAAAGTCTCCCTAAACCTTAATTCCTTCTGTAAGATGGTAATAACATCTGCCATCTATGGAAGCACTTTTTAAACTCGAATAGTAAATATGAATATTTGTTATTTTTGTGCTTCTCTGATTTCTTTGGGAATCTATTCACAGATTTAGCATCAATTTATCTCCTGAATTTTATGGTTGCAAGCATTCTAAAATGCCATACTGAAAAGTCAGCACTATTTAACTACACTCTGACTTCAGCTCTGCTTAACAACTACAATTGGTGATGACTCTTACAGTAGCCACTGAGAATGTATAGATTGCTGCCTAGATCCTTCTCCAGAAAGTCCTGTTTGGGGTGGTACTGAAAACAGTTACCATCTCCATCTTCTTTGGTCAACACCCTTGATATCTATAAAGGTTTGTTGGTTTCTTCATTCATTCAACAAATAATTATTAGTGGCTGCAATGTGCTAATGTAGGTTGGTACTGGAAGTGTAGCAACAAACAAGACATACAAGGTGCTGGCATCTTAGTGAGTGTTCATCCACATAGAATGGAGTGGCTAAGAACCAGAAAATACACAAAGTAAGTACTGTTTGTGATGGTCACTTTGAGATCTCCCACAGAGATCAGAGGCCAACACCCACACCCAACCATACAAAGGGGATGTGCAGATTTCTTCAGCAACCAAGAAGGAGGAAGAGGGTTATCCTAAGCACTGCATGGGACATACCTATATTAAACAATAATTATTTACATCTGGAATTCAAATTTAGGAGGCAATGGAGTTATGACTTAGAGCCTGAGAGACTCTACTGAGTATAGATTAGTGCATAGATATTGGTACATACCAGATGACTTGCTAGGGCATCAGCGAAACTTGGTCTTGTTACTTCAACTTGCTATATCTTGATTTCCTATAATATGAAAACTGTGTTAATACCTAGCTCATAGGTTTTTTTTCCCACTTCAGGATTAGGTGTCCTTATATTTATAAAGAGCTTAGAATAGTGCCTAACAGATAGTATTCTTTCTAAAAGTGGTAGCTCCATTTTTCTGACTTTTAGATTATTTAAATATAAATATTCATCTGAAGATGACTATTTTAAACCAAAAAGAATCTATTTAGGTAAAAGCCTCAGTGAATTATAATTTCCAAATCAAGATTATATTTGCTTGTTTGTTGTCAACTAAGAAAATGTAATTAGGAATAGAGTAACTCTACCTTTGAATGTGCCCAAGACATTCCCAATTTGGGCCTATCATCCCAGCATAATTATTAAAAGTATCCACCTTTTATTTCTCAAAAGCATTCTAGTTTGGATAACTCTTCCAGCCATAGTCCTTACAAAAATATTAAGAAATTACCTTTTTTGTACATATGAGTTATACTGTGAAAATGTTTGTATTTGGCCCTTGCTTCCACAAACATAATTACCAGAGTCCAATTCAATTTGCTTTCAAGCAGAACTAATTAATTTTTCTAAAATAAGTATTTATGAAGGCAATCTAAGACTCCTGCTTGCCTGCATGGGCAAACCTTAGAAACTCAACTTACCCATACTTTCTAGATCCTTCTCCTGTCCCTACACTTTCCTCAGTACTGCTCAGGCACTGAAAGCAAGGTTCTGCCCCCTCCAGGTCTGAAACTCAGTGCCTTTGCTCCTCTTAGTCTCTGCCTGAAGTCCTTTTCCCCTATCCACCCTGTGCTATCAGGTACTCCTCATTTTTCAAGGACCAGCTCAAAGTTTTCTTCCATCATAAATCCTTCGCACATTGCATTTTCATTGACTGTATATATCTATATTCCCCATTCATTGATGAGCTCCTTAATGGAAATAACTTTGTCTTTAGAATCCTAATACATTCAAATGTTTACATAAAGTATTCTATGAGCATTTTTTTTTAAATTGATTTGAATTTCCTTGGAAGAGTCTTGTGTAGTACACACATGGCAAAAAAGTACATATTTTCTCTCCTAATTATGATCTTACTAAAAACAGTCCAGTAGAAGGCAGAACAAATGTGCTTCCATTGGAAAATGTGAAATTTTACTTTGAACAAGGATCAGTACAATTAAAATCGGCTCTGTGGCCAAGTAGTCACTGTTAATATGTAATAACATGTTACAAAGGATTCCAAGTTTTTCTACACTTTTGTATTTTTACAAAGTTAAAAATTTGTGTAACTTTTAACTTTAATCCATAGCTCTTAATACATAAGGACACCTAAATTTTTATACCTGTAGCAATGTTTCCCCAGGCTTTTAATTCACCTAACATTCCATTTCACCCTTTTAGGTTTTAAAACACAGTTTAGAAAGGAAAAAGAAATGTAACATAACTGCTATTATAAGCACCTTCATTTTCAGACAGCACTCAAAGCTCAAAAGTTGTATTCATTCTTTTAGCAGTTTCCATTTCTATAAAGCTTAGGTGTGAATTTTGGGGAAGAAAGCCTAGAATATGAGTGAGTCTACTTCACAAAAGTCACTGCATCAGCCTTGCTGCACATGAATGGCCATTTTGTGCCCTTTCACTTGCCATCTGATAAAACTGCTTCTGGGCAGGTCCACAGGGTAATGTGTGGGGGAAAAAAAAAAACTCTCCATGTATGAGTCATCTAGTTCTGCCACTAATTTAACAATGCAACTCTGAGATTATTGTCTCTGAACTTTAAATTCATCCCCTAATGATAAATAGATAGCCCAATGATTTCTATAGCTGATGTGAATTCTGGCTGATTTCCTAATAGGACAAGAAAATAAAATAATAGAAGATTTATACTTTATCAATATAGATGAAAAATCCTAACAAAAATGTTAGAAAACAGAACTGATAATGTTAGAAAACATTGGAGCTGATGATGATGATGGTGATGAGATACACTGTGATTAAATAAAAGTTTTCCCAGGAAACAATGGTAGTTCCATTTCAGAAAGAAAAAAAAATGATGATTTAATATATTAATATATTTCAAAAAAAAAGGAATCTGACAATGCCAATAGA